GTGTGTGTGTGTGTGTGTGTGTGTGTGTGTGTGTGTGTGTGTGTGTCTAGCATAGAGATGGCACTAGAATGGGCTACATATCCTCATGTGATAAAGTCAAGGCTCAAAAAATATAATTGGAGTAGGTTGTAAACCTCTTCTCTTCCCAAATGAAATAGTGACTTCAATCATATTTCGTCTTCTTCTCTGCAGTACTTACATATTATTTCTCGCCCTAACTTTTTAAAGGCTTTTTAAGAAAAGAGTAGAACTGTGCACTTTATTTGAATTCCTGTAGTCTCTTCCTGTGGTTCAGGACACTGTGCTGCAGTCGCACAAAAAGTAAATGCTAGATCATTCAGACTCAAAATACTTAACTACACTCAACATTACAGATTAAATTAACTGGTGCTGGAAGAAATATTCTTTCAGACATGAGAAGGCTGGTTTTTTTTTTTTAAAGGTCAGCATTAAAGCATGACCAACTTGCTTTTCTTGGCAGAACAAACATATGATTTGCAGCTCAGATAATTATATTGCTCCTGCACAGGAGGAGAGAATAAATGTCTTCATCAGAAATAAAAAATGCTTTAATACAGAACATCAGAATAATTTGTTGAACTCATTTTCACAGGAGATCAGAGACTGGATAACTGTAGCTATGCAAATTAATGGCCCAACCTGGGAATCCTTATTTAAGTGAGTAAAATTGTACAAGCACAAGTATTCCCATTAATGTCAATGGGGCTACTAGTGCTAGTAAGGGCTTCTTGAAGAGTTACATTCAAAATGTACCAACATGAAGGAAAAATTAAATGTCACGCGTCAGGACATAAAACTGACTGCCTGCAGGAATCAGGATGGGGCTATTTTCTGTCCACTTTTATGTTCTGTAATGCACTACACATTTCTTGGGTGCAGAATATTTTGCTTTTCATATACCTTTTAAGCATCAGGAACTGGTCATGCCAGAGACTGGATAATAAGCTATGCATACCACACAGAATCAAACCACTGGGTCTATCTACATTCCTAACTCCTTCCACAAAACCCTTTAGAAGGATTTTCTATGTAACATTTAAAAACTAAAAGAAATGAAGAATTACTTTGTTGATTTTATCATAGACCGACCCTTTTAAGATCAACCACAGACTGACCCTCTTAAAATAAGCACTATGGGTGCCTATACATGAGCAGACTCGATTAATCTAGTCTGCTGGAGCATGGTAATTATCATACCCTAGCAGACTCCAGCGTCCCGTGTACCAGAGTCTTCACATTTAAAAATGGCAGCAAGGGTGCTTTAAACACTCTGGGTGCTTTAATTAGAGCAGCTCTCCCTCCTTATGGGTACCTATTTTAATGTTTGATTTGGTTCATTAGGGCTATAGGCCAAAAGTCTTGTTTTCAAGCCTTTTGTAGAAAAGTTGATTATAAAAAAATGAATTCAAATCCTAATTTGCAGTAAAGCCAAAGGCATGTAACTATAGCAGCAGAATTCTGATATTAGTTCTCAAAAGTAGTCGCTTTTAAAACTGATTCGCGTTAAGTGAAACTAGTTTAAAAGATGCCCTACCAGTCTTATCCATTTGTATTTAAAAATAACTCAGAACTTTACTGCCCTGCACACAGGCAAAGGTGACTCACATGTCACAACCAATTACAACAAACTTTCAGGCCAAGAAATTGTTTTCAACAATATGGAAAATACTGGGTTGTCTGCTTAGGGCAAGAAAATAAAAACTAGATTTTACAGTTTGGGCCTTTAGCCTTTCTTGAATACAATCCCACTCACTGTGTGCTAAGACATTCATTTGCAAAACAGCTCCTCTTATTTTGGGAAGAATAGTAAACTCTGCCTAACTACTGAATGCAAGAGTTGAAAAAATGTGTGCAACTACAGCTTATCCAAACCAGAAGCTATCAAATTAAGACTTCTGTTTGAAAAGATTTTGATAGAAGGTCAATTATTTCCCTTTTTCAGTCTTTAGAGGAAACTTGTACCTTATCTACATTTAAGTACTTGGTTATCTCTGACATATCCTGTTCTCCTTATACCATAGGCTGTGGAACGGGATGGGCCACCTGGGGGCCAACGCCTGACCAATTTTTAGCACGTTAATTTAGCTAGCTATGCAATTAAAAAACAGCTATAGTTTTAACTAGAACGACAATTGCACATTTGTGGATTATATAAATTTATGTGCTAAAAGTTGGTTGGGCCATGGCTGGAGAGGCCCACCCTGTTCTGTGGCCTATGCCCTACACCAGGGTGAGGAGAAGGCTGCTTAATGCAGAAGCCACCCCTAACAATGATACATCAGTTGACAGTTTCCCTTCACTTGCAGGGGTATTTTCTGCTTGGTTGCTACAGGCAGATCCCACCACCCAGGCAGAAAATATTCAGCATCTCATGACAAAAGTATTTTTAGAGTTCAAGCTAGTAGTTGTTTGGCAGGCTGACATTTATTGATAACACTGTGCTTCTTTCTTCCTCATGCTTACACTAGCCTTATGGTATAGTGTGAACTATTCTAATTTTGGGTGGGGTAAACAGCCAAAACGCTAGGCTACATTTCCATTATTTTTGTAACTTATTTAAAATATATACAGGGTGAGCTCCTTCTAGGTTGTGAGCTCTTTCTCCAGGCAACAGGGAACAAAAGGGTACATAATTACTAACCCAGATCATTTGACCTCACCCAATAAGGAAAGGCATGTGCGGAGTTCCTGGACTCTAATCATTACAGGGATTCCGGGTATCTAGGCAGATGCCCCTGGTCTCCCAGAGACGGGGTTGGGGGATGACAATACACCAGGTTGCTTTAATAATGATGCCTTTCCCATGATGAGCTGGCTTCATCCATTGTACTTGTACGTGACTACTGAATGCTTCTTAGACTAAGTGATAACCAGAACTCATAGCCACACACAGTCAGTCATTCAACAGCCTCCTGAATGGATCCTGAGGCATTACCTGTTGTGAACCTTGGCTTAGTGGGTGGCTCCTGTACAGACATGGGAAAGGTGGCAGAAGCAGGTGAGGACTGTGCCCGGGACAGAGGCCGGTGCCCTCCAAAAGACACTGGGATGCCAGCTGCCTCCATTGATGCTTGATAGTTTCTCAGCTGGTGAATGCGTTGCTGCTCCAGTAAAAGGGCTTGCTGTTGGGAAGAATGGAAAGGATTATTCTATGACAACCATCTGTACAAATATCTGAATTGCAAAGATGTTTTAATAAAACTTTTAAAACAATGTTTCATGGAGTTTTTAGTTCATTTACATGTTCCAGTGAACACACACACACACACGCACACACACACACACACACACACACACACACGACTGACATCGTAATAGAGTGCCTAATACGAATAGACCTGTTGACTTCAGCGGGGTCTGGAGCAGGTTCTTACTACAGGCAAGCTTTCTTTAAGCAACACAGTCTAAGCAACCTTATATGGCAATTAAAAATCGCATCACTTGAAAAGCAAAATTTTGCTTTTGGATACAATTCTACATAGCAATTTTCATACCGGCAGCTCTACATAATTTCGGTCTTTGCTATGCAAGGGACAACTGCCTTTCTCCCCAGCCAACTGCATATACCTGAGATCTGCAAAACTGTTCTCATTTAGAGGGAAATAAGTAAGGGTCTTTGATCCCTCAGACTCAGAGCCTATGGGATGGAGCTGGTGACCTGGCCCCACACCCTGCTGCCATGTGCAGCTCCAGGAAAGTCAGACAAGAATCAAGACTAAGGCTCCCTCTATGCATTACAGTTAAGGCATGATTAACTAGGTAATCACACCTAAAAGTTGTGACCCAGCCAAATGGTCACCCAGTTAATGGTATAATAAAACAAGAAATAAACTAGAATGTGGGGACAGCATTCCCAAGGCTGCCCCCGTGGTGAGCCCCACAGCCCATGTTGACTGTAGGGCTTGGGGATTGTGATCCCAGGCTCCCCATGCACTGATGACAAGGTCTGATGGGATCTAATGTGCAATCCCACAATCACGCCTCCTACCATGCGCATGTGGCACGGTGGGAGATACAAGTGTATATTGTGCATTAGATCCCACTGCATGTGTAGAGGGGACCCAAGATGGTGCCCTTGTTTGCTCAGTCTTGTTAGGGACAAGCTAACACTGAAGAACATTTTCTTTTTAGGACTGCTTATGCCATTAAACCAGAATTCTCTCTCACATCTAGATTTTTATTTTAGTAGGGTGATGCTGGAGACTTGGAGAATGTTCTTGCTACAACCATTAGCAGCATAACATTATGTTTTGTTTAACTTCATTGTATTAAAGCAAATGCAGTGGGATGTTTAGACAATACATCACTTTATGACAATAAATCTTTTTTTTTAAATTAAATATTGGGTAGTAGATCTCCTAGTGGCTACATGCTGAAGTCTAAAACCAAAACAGGATAGATGAAATAATCCAAATGATGAAACAAGCAAAGAATCTCAGATCAGTCCCTACCAGACACCAAAGCCTAGGCTCTGACAGATAACCCAGGAGATGAAGTTCAAAACCACTGATCAAGGGCATCTCATGAAACTTTAACTGCCCTGACAGGGGAAGCTGAGAAGGAACTCCAGCCACAACACACTGGAGAACCTAAGGCAAGGGTAGGCAAGATATGGTCCATGGGCTGGATCCGGTTTGCCAGGTGATTTCATCTGCCCCAAGGGTGGGTTCCCACCAGTTAATTGTATCTGGCCTGGCCTGCCACTGCCCCTACTGCACGGGCCTGAGTCTCACTCACTCCCACTGGGGCAGCAGGCTACGCTCCCGCCCTCATCCGTGGGAGGGCCCTGGCCCCAGCCAGCATGCACAGATTCTGGCTGGGACTGCCGCTGCCACTGCTGCAGCCACCTGGGGAACTGCTTGGCTCATTAGGGGCTGGAAGACCTTGTGAGATCATTGAGTCCAGCCCCTCTGCCATACTCAGGAAGTCTGCAGGGATCAGAAGATTCCAGCAAGATAAACATCCAAATGACTTTTGAATGAGTCCAAAGTTGGTGCTTGGCACCACCTCTGGGGGGGAGTCTGTTCCAGATCTTGGACATCTGGGCTGTAAAGAAGTTCTTCCTTATATTGAGTCTGAATTGGCCTCCTTGAAGTTTGTGGCTGCTGGACCTAGTTATTCCTTGGGGAGCCCTGGTTAACAACTGTTCTCGCAGATCCTGATGCACCCCCTTATATACTTATAGGCAGCCACCAAGTCCCCTCTGAGCCTTCTCTTCACCAGGCTGAAGAGTCCCATGTCCTTCAGCCTTTCCTCGTAAGGCTTCCTCTCTTGGCCTTTGATCATACGCATGGCTCTCCTCTGGACTTTCTCAAGCTTATCCACATCCCTCCTGAAGTGGGGGGCCCAAAGCTGGACGCATTACTCCAGCTATAGCCTCACTAAGGCCGAGTAAAGTAGGAGGATGACATCCCTGGTTTTGCTCGAGATGCATGGGTAGATGCATGACAGAGTTTGGTTTGCTCTGCTGAGCACGGTATCACATTGGGGGCTCATGTTCATTTTATGGTCAATCAAGACCCTCAAGTCCCTTTTGGTTGTGCTGCTAGCACCTCTGAGCCTATGAGTATAATGCTGTTTTTCTCTCCCAAGGTGGAGTACCCTCCATTTCTCCATGTTGAATGCCATCAGGTTTTGGTCTGCCCACTTTGCAAGTGTGCCCAGATCGGCCTGCATCCCCAGCCTGTCCTCCAACATGACCGCCTTCCCCCATAGTTTAGTGTCATCTGTGAACTTTGCCAGTCCGCATCTGAAGTCCAAATCCAGGTCTTTAATGAAAATATTGAAGCGCACCAGCCTGAGTACTGAGCCCTGGGGGACTCCACTGGTAACCTTGTGCCACGTTGATTTGTTCCCATCAACTAGTACCCTTTGGGTCCAACCCTGGAGCCAGTCCCCCAGCCATTGGACTGTAAGATGGCCAAGGCCACAGTTCCCCAGCTTGGTCGTGAGGACATCATGGGAGACCAAGTCAAAGGCCTTCTTGAAATCCAGATAACTGACATCAACCTTGTCTCCCTTGTCCAGGCAATATGTTACCTGGTCATAGCAGCTCCTCCTGGCCCTGTTACAGCACTCCAGGCAGCAGGTAGGGAAGTTGTGGTGGGTGCAGGGGAAGCTGCAGCTGGGCAGGGGTGTGGGGCCTGTGCCAGGGCATCAGGAACATGGAGCCTGGGTCTGCAGGAGCATGGGGCCCAGGCAGGCTCCATTTTGCGGGACTCCCTGTGGCTCACATGCAGCTCCTAGTACTTGGCCAGAGCCTGTGCAAGGGAGCTAGTGACCTAGCGCAGCTCCCTGCTGCCATGTGCAGCTCCCCGGACTTGTCTGGGAGTGGTGGAGAGCCCTGCACAATGGAGCCTGGCCAGCTTGACTCTGCTCCATGAAGCCCCAGCTGAGTCCTGGGAGCTGCCTGTGGTGGCAGGAAGCGGGGCCAGACCAGTAGCTCCACCACACGGGGCTCCCCCCAGCAGCGTACAGCTCAAACCAGGTCTGAGGAGCTGTATGTGAGCCATGGCGAGCCCCACTCCCAGCTGCCATGTGCAGATCCCAGGACTCAGCTGGGGTCGTGTGCCACTGGGGTGCTCTGCCTTCTGCGTACCACTGGGGTGCCACCACCTGCTGCTGATATTGCTGCTAGCAGCAGAGGCATGTAGGGGTCTCCCCCACCACATACTCTACCACAACCACACAACCCGCCACAAATGCACCCCCCACCAATGCCC